AGTAAATAAAGATTTTTCGAACATTATTGAAAAATTGATTGGCCAATTATCACGTGTACGGATATGACCAATTGTTTAATTTCATGTGCCTCCTATGAATATAAGAATATAAATATGTAACCATACAAGAACTTGGTAAATATTGATTTTTTTTTAATATAGTGTAAATTCTTGTAAATTAATCCTTTCACGGTCAAGTATTTTATTTGGAAAATGAAGTTTTTATTAAAAAAAAAAAGGGGGGAGGAATCTGGAATAATTGAAATGTTAAATATGCTATATTTTAATCAAATTGATGATTAATATCGATATTAGTAAATAATAAATTAGCAAAAGCACATAGATTACATAATTTGTAATATAATGCATAATAATTATAAGCATAATTTGAATTTAAAAATTGCATAATTCGCATAATTTGTAATTTGGCATGCATAATTTTTAGAATAAGTAATGTGAAAATCACGGTTTTTAACGAAAAATTTCGTCTATGAAACTGTCTTCTGCGCACTGACAATTTGCAAAATTTGATTCAGGAAATTTGATTCGTTGCTATCATAATCCTAACCCTAATAACTTTAAAAATCGAGATTTCGACATGCCTATTCTAAACATGGGCTTTCAGCATGCTATGACGATTCTTCTTGTGATGTATGTTTTGGGCAATTCAAACAAGTTCTTTTGACAAATTTCTAGCAAAAAACTTTAAAAATCGAGATTTCGACATGCCTATTCTAAACATGGGCTTTCAGCATGCTATGACGATTCTTCTTGTGATGTATGTTTTGGGCAATTCAAACAAGTTCTTTTGACAAATTTCTAGCAAAATGATGATACATCATGAAAAGTTTAATTTTATTTTTTCGAAAGCTTATTGGTCTAAAAATGACAGAATTTGTTGACATCGCTGTAGTTATTGGGTACACAAATTACTTTCACCTTTTTACATTTGCATTACTAACACTAATGTAAATGCTTTTTTAACTTCTGGTATACTAATCCCAGGTAGAGATTGAACCCGGCATAAAATTCAAGCTGTGGGCCACCATTCATTTACAAGAACATTACCAGGTCACAAGCTTCTAATAATTGTTCAAAGTGTAGTGGAGGATTTAATCGTAGATTCATAGACCAGATTCTGTGCTATTTTAGATTAGCGTTAGATGATTTACTAGCGCTAGGGTGTCTAATGCATATTTAATTACAAACATAGTGCAGGTGTATAGTGAAAATCATTAATCAAATTTTTTTATAA